ATTACCACATTGCAGCACCCTCTTGTCATCTCTGGTCTTTTCAAGTGGTCTTAAGCCCTATTCGGATGGTAATTGTTTCTCATGGGGACGTCTGTAAAAAATAAGGGTGCTTTCATATTTGGTTCGCTTGCCTGGTCCGAACCCGAGTTCGATTGCTCCCCCCTCCCCCTGCCCCCGCTGGACTGCGTTGATATTATTTTATTTGAGTCTGAACAACGGTCCGTTTGCGTCATGAAGCCAGAAGCTGTTTACCCCGTTGCTTAGTAACGACGGCGCAGGAGAAGGCGGCAAATGCATAACATTGCTCTCTGCACTTTTATATATTTACGTTTTTGAACCGTTCGTTTTGTTTACAAAGCTTCGGTACATAACGGCACTTATGAATGTACTGCAAATGCTCTAAAGCAGGGTTTCTCAACCTTTTGCCTACTGCGACCTACTTTTTTTTTGTATGCCAATCATACGACCCACTAAGACTGGAAATAAATAACTGAAATGCCTCTTTAGACCTAGGCTACACCGTATATGCTTATTATAATTAATTTCTCAAAAACACACAAACACTTTCAATAATTAGGCAGACTATGAGGCAAACTGATTTATTTATTTTTACTCGCGTTAATGTGACATTTGAGACTGCCGCTCTGAAATGATGATATCCAGACGCGGTGGAATTGGGGAACGGGGCACTCGTAGTGTTGCACACAAACTAGCTGTTGTCAGCCTATTCCTGCTTTTTGTTTTCGTTGCAGTCACTGTTGAAAATCCTGACTCGCAAAGATAGGTAGTGCTACATGGTAAGAGAAACTTCGTGGCACGATCTGCGAGTTCTGGATATTCGTGTCTGGTTTGAATCCAGAAGGAGCTTTTAAAAAACGGATGCATTTTGTCAAGCTAACAGGCCGTGGATGAATACAGTATAGTAGATCTGGCATAGCAATGCATTGCAATCTCCTGCGCAAGCAACGGGGTAAACAGCTGCTAGCGTGTGTAACATTACATAAAGAGAGTAGGTCCTTGTCCAATAAGAGCCGTTCGCGGCAGCGATACATTATTGTGATAGGACAGTTTAGAAAGTTACGGCAATAATGATTCAACATGCGACATTCGAAAATACGATTCGTTGGAGGTCACTGTTTCAATGAGCCTTTTGTGAAGCGCACTTACTGGCTGTGCCGGTGTAACACCGAGAACACAGAGAAAGTCTCGCGACCCCCTATAGAATGATCCGCGACCCACTAGCTAGTGGGTCTAAAGAACACTGAAGGCAAACAGAAATGAGATACGGTATACCGCTCTCTGTTTGCAAGGCGTCAGTCACACTCATCAGGAAAGTGAGTGAAACACACACACAAACACACATTTTTATGAAATAATACGTCACTAATAGTGGTTCACTGCTGTGATTTGGTACGATTGCGTTCACATCAGCAGCGAACCATACCGGAGTTTGCATGAACCGTACCCCAGACCACCCTTTTTAAGCGGACTCGGGTACGGTTCGCAGGTGCCAGCGGAAGACAGCATTCACATCATCCGAACGAACCGAACTCTGACGTCAATCGAACCCGGGTGCACACCAAAAGTGCTAGTGTGAAAGCACCCGAAATCTCCATAGCTCCTCAGTGATTAAACACATGCTTTCGGATGAAGATAAATTCGAGGTGGACGTCTGAGTTTGTAATCCTACGAACCCAGAACTGCGTTTCTTACGTAGTCAGTCAAATGATCATTGACGTGCTCAGGCAGATGTTCAACATGGCGACAAGGAAGCAACACATGACGCACGAAGAAACACTAACTTTAATATCAGTGTGGGGAGATCCAAAATTTCAAAAACTATTTGACAAAACTATTCATAATCATAAAGTGTGGGAGGCGGTGTGGCGAGAAGCTTGCCAGCTATATAGCTCCCAGTCAAAACAGGCCAAACAGGGTTTATTTGAGAAAAATATTCCATACATGACTACAAGCACAACACTACAGTACACAGAACACACAACACTGATCCACGTTAGCCAGGCCAGACAGTGTTACATAGGGCAGAGCACGGCACGAAGGTGGGAACCCCCTCATCTGCAGTGCCCAGAACGAGCACACAGAGTTAGATCCGGGCTGTGAAGTGTGGCTGCGTAGCACCACGTTAGCCAAACCTAAGACAAACGATAAACAATACCAAGCACGACGAATCAATGAGAAAGTGGAGACCCGCTCACCGATACTGTCAAGCGGGTACAAGTAAACCATCGATCCGCGCAGAGCTGGGCTCGCGGGGGGTGTGAGGCGTGTGACAAATTAAAATCCAATCCGATTGGAGATTATGGATCCAGTCCGGTGATCAATAAGTGAAGATGGAAATGTTTACAAAAAAGTAAAAGTAGACAAACCAAGCGACTTCACAACAAAAATAGACGATGAGAAGCGAAGCGGCTGCCGATTTGCGCACTGCGTACTCTGAACGGAAACGGAAACATTAAGTAAACTGACTGGACTAAAATTAATGTTAATGTTCACTTCAGGACGCTGTCATTGGGGACCAGGCAGGATTTACAGTTCCAAATTCACAAACTAGTGTATGAAGCAAAATGTCTGGAGGCAGGACTCACTGAACACTGGGGAGAGAGTAACGGGGGGCAGCTGACAAGTCTGTGAGGGGTGTTTGTAAGCTTATTTCCCTTACATTCTTGAGTTATTATTGTTTTTTTATTTTAAAGTTAATATACGGCAATAAGATATTGTTAACATTTCTGGTTATTTGTATCTTATATTATTCCAAATCTATCATATTCTACCATATCATATTGAAAACGTGTAGGGCAGAGGTCCCCAACCACCGGGTCGCGACCCAGTACTGGGCCGTGGAAGAGTTGCTACCGGGTCGCAAGAACGTTCTGGGAAAAATGTAAATAGATACGACACTCTGTTATTTATCGCGCGTTAGGGATTGTTCTAATTATACTGTATTTTCGTTTGTTGTATGCGACTGCTATGGAGTGTAGCAATTTGACGATTTCATGTAAATTAAACGTTCAATTAGTAAATGAATGCCATATATTAGGGGTTAAACGGATCGCAGTTGATCCGTGATACGTACAGACCAGACCCCACTGTTCGGCATGCATGTGATTCGCAGATGAATTTTCCAATTTACACGTTCAAGCAATTTTAAACCACAAGAAGAAGAAGCGAAAGAGAACTCGATTCGTTGCTCGCGCTGTTTTCATTGTGCACAGCAGCCACACACGCACAGAGACGGAGGTTGACTCAAAAACCACAATATGATCCGTTGAACCATATGCTATATATATATATATATATATATAAACCCCACCCCCCTCCAGCCGGTCCGCGAGAATATTTTCAAAATATAACCGGTCCGTGGTGTAAAAAAGGTTGGAGACCCCTGATGTAGGGGACCCAGGTGAAAAAAATGTACACTTCCTTAATAAGTTTAAATTCCTTAAAGCGCTCTATTTTCGCGCACTAATTTTGTACTTAATATACAAAAAATTCTTCTTTAGTACTACTTAAGGTAATTTTAAGAACATCTAAGTGTACTCAACTGTGCTATTTTGAGACACCATGAATATGAACTAAAATGTGCCAACAATTGCTCAAAAGAACAAAAGGGTCTTATCTAGAGAAACGATCGGTCATTTTCTAAAAAAAAAATTACATTTGTTAAAGGGGTCATATGATGCTGCTAAAGAGAACATTATTTTGTGTATTTGGTGTAATGAAATGTGAGCCGCGGCTTAGTGTGAGCTGAGGCCGGGATAGAGTGAGCACAGGCGGCGGGGTCGAGAACGGCGGATTCGACAAAGGAGCGGCAACCACATGTGACGACCCCGGGCTGGACTCCGCTTCGTCCACGGTGAAAGCCGATCCGGCGATCCACAGCATGAAGTTGATGTATTTCCTCAGCGACCAGCACAGATCAGCTCCAGGCATGACGAAGCAGATATCGTCCTCTTTTGTTAGACCAAACAAAGTAGTTTCGCTTTCACAACGAAGCACACAGCATCTTCACGACATGGCGGCGGCAACAATACTACAGCGAGAATAAAAGTTACGCCTTCTTTCTTTGCGTGAACATTTGGGCGGCGTTATGCAAATCTTCCCAGATAGTGATGTAGATATGTGGGGGCGTGTTAGAACGAGCAGTCCGCTACTGATCCGTGGCTGCTTACCACAAACACAACATTTATCCACTTTTTTAATTTAATTTTGAATCCTAATGTTGTTATTGAAAATGTGATTCTCTTTTTACACAGTACAGAATTAGTCTTTCATAGACGCCCTTACGAAAATTAACCATGGTTTTACTACAGTAACCACGGTTTCTATGGATTTTGAAATAAAACCATAGTAGCTACAAAATGAACAATGTTTTTTTTTTTTTTTACATTTACAGTAAAACCATCCCTGCTGGAATAAAACAGCTTAAATCAGCCTAAACTGGTTGGCTGGTCTTAGCTGGTTTAAGCTGGAAGTAGCTGGTTTTAGCTAAGACCAGCCAACCAGTTTAGGCTGATTTAAGCTGTTTTTTTCAGCAGGGATAGTAACTAAAATTGAAATAATTAAGCATTATTTTGTAAAGAAAACGTCCCAAAAAATGTTTTTAAATAAAAATGAAAAGAATGGCTTTTATTGTACCTGTACAGTCAAACTAGATATAAGCTTAGCAATAAGATAGTTTACCCTTCTTTTTGGGAGGCTCATGTATTAAGTTAATTTATTAAAACTTAAGCAATTACCTGTGTCTACAGTTATAGTATTATCATCCTTATAGTATTATTAATTTCCCATTATCATTATTTCTGTAATAATCATTACAAAATGCTTGCGTCCGTATAGTTTCCAGGCTTTTGGCTTTTTCAGCACTTCACTGGACAACATGTGTATTTCAATATATTTCCCCGAACTAAACTCTGAATACCTCATGTTATTTATGTGTTTTCTGCATGTGAATATATACACACGACTTTTATTTTGGTGTGGTGATGTGACGTCACAAGGCTGCGCTGCGCTCCGGTGTCTGTGATTCGGCAGAAGAAAGGTTTGTGTTTTTGTATGTAGAGTCTTTAAATCGATCAAACGGTCAAGGCACTGTTATAGGTTTTACAAGCGATGTAAAATGAGTCGATAGTTATTGAACGTAACGTTGCAATGTTTCATTTAACAATTATTAATGTTATTGTTTGTGTGTAAAGCACATCTGCACGATTAACAAACATGCTCCGTCTCATTTCGCTCCCTATATCGTCTATCAGTTTATAGTAAGCACGAAGTCAGTCACTGGAAAGTACTGATGAGAGAAACGGAGCTTTCTGAAACTCCGAGTCAATTGAGTCGAATGCTTCGCGAAACGATTCACTTTTTCGATTGAGCGCTCGAATCGAATCAGCGCGCGCTGAGGAGACCAGTGTGAATGCAACGAGAACAACAAACACGAGCAATGAGAACTCTTACCAATCAACTGCAACAGTTTCATGAAAGTGCAATATATAACACGTAATCTACAAATGATTAAATACCAAATATACGACATAAATACTTAAATATGACCTTTCTTTAATGTGTGTGTGTGTGATTAAGACGCACCAGAGATTTAGTTTGGATTTATTATTCTTTCTATTAATTATTCTCATTTTAATCATGACAGCGTGTCCAAACAGACAGAAAAACTCTTGGTGAAGCAGGTGAGATCCACGTGACACTATTATAAAAATGGCGTTTATTAAAGAGGAGAGTGAAGATGTGAAGATTGAAGAAGCATTCGGAGTCAAACGAGAAGAAACCGAGGAACAAACAGGTTGGTTTTCATTCTCAAAGCTGAACTCACTCATTCGATCCTCATTAAAATGTCCAGCTTTACAGGAACGAGTGATATTTTTGAAGAATGTCTTACGAGTGGCCTAATTTAAGCAGTTTTATTTGATTACTTTTGTTTGCTATTATGATGTCACGCATTGAATTTGTAAAAAATAATCTCCAAGTAGCCTTAACAAAAAAATGTTTGTGTAACGTTGAACATCTGCTTTATTTAAAAACAATGCAAACCGTTAATTTATAGCATTTTACTATGCAACAGTATCTATCATTTATTTTTAATAAGCAAAAAGGCAAGTAATCAATTTTTATTAATGACAGAATTAAAACTATATGAAAAGTAGTGATTATTACAATAATACACAAAACAATCAAGAAAAAATGAGAATTATACTGCAAAATCATGAGATTAATTCAGTTCACGTTTTTCCACAACATGCATTTTCTGTAAACCTACTTTGAAATGATACAAGTCTACATCATAATTAAGAATGATCTGTTATTAGAGGTGACTTGTCAAATTGCTGTCCATTAGAGGTCTGCAAGCCTCATCCAAGCCTAAAGTCCATTCGGGCCGGGCTCGGGCCTTTTTTTTTTTTTTTAACAGATCGGGCTCGGGTCGTACTCGGGCTCATTTAGCTTCTCTCCTTTTATTGTGCCATATATGCGCAGAGCACACATAGGCTACTGTATGAAATATTGTTATATTGATTATATTATAAATATTATACATCGCCTACGCAATACGCAACGCACATACACACGCATTAGCATACAGGTGACAGTTGACCATGCACAGCATCAGGAGAAGTTGGGAGTTACTAAAAGTTCCCAATGCTTCGGAAAAGCTGTATTTTGGAAGAGTCTTGATTTGATTACCTCAGCAAACAGTGAGTCAATTGGTCATGTGCAGTACAGAATCTGCAAACATATCCTTGCACATGACAGCAAAAAACGCACGCAATAGGCTAAAGCATGCTGCAAAGCCCCAGCAAAAGTAATTAAAAGTAATTATATGTGGGGCGGGGCGAGGGGGGGGGGGGATAATGAGA